TTCCCCTCCCTCGCCCCCAATTCCATTGAGAACACAGGCAGCAGTGACTCCCAGACTACCAGGATCTCCGGGGGTCGTCCAGGTCCCACCTCCAATCTGCACCAACATTCCCCATCTGGAGCCAGATGCTGCCTGTCTTGTACCCCCAGTCACACACGTAGACCGTGTGAGAAACACTCAAGCCTGCGTGCACCCCGGCCAACCCCAGTATAACTGAATTGGCACGTTAGCACAAGAGCTAGTCTGTCATTTTAAGTCCTGATTTTGCTCCAAGTTCTTTTTTGTTTTTTTTTTTCAGAGATTTTATTTTTTTCCTTTTTCTCCCCAAAGCCCCCCAGTACATAGTTGTATATTCTTCGTTGTGAGTCCTTCAAGTTCTGGCATGTGGGACGCTGCCTCAGCGTGGTTTGATGAGCAGTGCCATGTCCGCGCCCAGGATTCGAACCAACGAAACACTGGGCCGCCTGTAGCGGAGCGCATGAACTTAACCACTCGGCTATGGGGCCGGCCCCTCCAAGTTCTTTTTCTTCTCCTAAGCTTATACCCCCACCTCTCTTATGCAGCACAGCATATCCCTCTGATACAAGAATGATGTTAAATAGTAATGCCGACAATTCACCACATGCTACACTCTACCTGCCTTACCCCCGGGACCTCACACCCCATGCCCATTGCCTCAGGGACCTCATGCTCCACATCCATCATCTCAGGGACCTCACACTCCACCCGTGTGCTCCACACATTTAATGAACTTCACACAGGGAAGTCCTCCTCACTGGACTTAACCTTCTCCCCTTCCAGGTTCAGGGGGCATGGCAGGAGAGGACCGTCACCTGGGAGACTGTGATGCCACCCTTCCTAGCCAGCTCTTCTTTGGCTTCTTCACTGCGGTAAGGGTTGCTCAAATGGGAATAAAAATACTCATTCAGGAATTGTGTGGCCTGCTTGCTGAAATTCCACCAGTTACGCCTGCAAACATAGACAGACTCAGCCAGCATTAATACACTGGCTCTCTTGTAATGTCCCCTCATCCCCATCTATGATTTTCTAGAGGTTATAAAACCAGTCAACACTTCAATCGTCTTCCAAGAGGCTGTGTAAGGGCTACACCTGTGGCCACAGCGAGAGCCCGTGGACAAGCTTGGAGGCTCCCAGGACTTAAGCCCAAGCCAGCACTTGACTTGATTCTTCCTAAGACCCGACCTTGGGGTCACTGGCAGCAGATAGGGTCTGACCTGGCATCGAGGAACTGTGAGCACAGGGTCATCATGGCCTCACAGGTGCTCTGCTTCAGCTGCATCTGGATGGTGCTGAACTTGCCATGATGTCACTGACCATGCGCTTGATTTCCTGGGGTGAGACAGGCCTCATCCTGCTCTGCTACCGGAGGAGGCTGGTGACGAGTGTGGTGAACTCAAGGCAGGCCTGGGGCGGAGACACGCACGCCAGCCTGGGACTACCCAGCAGGCTCGCTCAGGGCTCCACACAGAAGAAACGTTCATGGCTGTAGAGAAAGGGAAGGTGGAGGACGGGGTGTGGGGGCTTCTGAGGGGATGGAGGCAGGGGGCAGGCAAGACGGGGACAACGTCCACCTAGTTCTGACTTTCTGGAAAACAAAGTTTAAAGTGTTTTCTTGGAAACAGGTTCTCTTAATACTATCAGCTACTAAGTGGCTTAAGTGCGCTAATATAACTCAGTTTAATCATTTCGTGTGGATATTTATTCATTAACCACTTGTCCCTTTCTCGTTCCCTATATAAGAGAGTAACCTTTTCTGGCAAAAATTCTCTAGTGAAAACTGAAGGAGCTCAAAAGATATCCTTGTAGGAATTTTCCTCACACACGGGGACCCTCACCATGTACTCAGACCCACTGGGTTGCAGCGAGGCTCTTTCTGAAGGAACTGAAAGAAAAGAGCCCCTTTTACCAGTTATCTGTTAGCCTTCCAGCTCAGAGACCCAATTCTCTAACAATCTTACTTGGTCTTCAAGAAGCACCAAATGTAAACTGTGGTTCCTGTGAGCCAGGGCAGCCTGAGCCCAGCGAGGACAGTGCTTGTGGGGCTGCGGACCCCTGCATCTGGTCCTTGCAGACTCTGGGCAGAAGCTACAGCAGCTGGGCCCCAGGGACAAGCCACTAGATCCACTCCAGAGTTGACTGCACTGACTGTTCCTTGTAAAGGCCCCTCCCCGGTCTGACCTCTCCTAGCCCAGAGTAGATAACGGAGGTCCTCCTCCCCGAGTCCCTCTGTTGATTCCATCTCCACAAACAACCCACCATCCGCCCCCTCCCTTAATGCCATTCCTGGACCTCTGCTGCACTGATCCCCCTCCTGCCCTCCATGATCTGCAGAGGAAAACCTTCTCCCCGCTGATCCATTGTGCACACCTGCAAGCCGACTACCTTCAAACACTATGTTTATCACACCAGTGTCTTGTGCAAAGACTTCAACACTCCCCGGCACCCACAGGTAAAACCTAGAATCTGACAGCTGGCACTCAGGGCTTTTCCTGACATCCTTCCAAACCCACCCTCATGAACTCTCCCTCTGCTGGGTCCTGCATGGCCCTCTGTCGGCACAGCAGACGCTCTGCTCCTGTCTCAGGTCTATTCAGCAGCTCCTCCCTGAGTGCCCGTGGTCTAGGCTGAGAATTAGGAGTGGGCCGAGAGGGAGACACAGGACCCAGTCCTTTCCCACAGGGCCCGAGCATGCCCTGACACCTGGGGGTGGAGAGGCCACCTCCACACCTTCCATTATAGCTTCAATTGAACTAGGGAAAGGAGTGCTCAAGGTGGGAACATGCGGTTTAGTGAAGGAGTGTGTGCGTGTCCGTGTGTGTTCATGCATGTGTGTGCATGAAGGGGTGTGGGCTCGTGTGTGTGTCTGCATGCACATGTGTGCACGTGTGGCTCTGGGCTGCTGTGGAGCGTGGGGCAGTCTTTCTCTCATTCTTTTATTTATCCAACAGCAAGCATCTGAGAGCCCATCACAAGCCAGGTACCACATCAGGCGTTGGAGATTTTTAAAAATACGCCAAAAAAACCGTGGAACTTATTGTTTCCAAATGAAAACTCTCAAATTACAAAAAGAACACTGGAGCCTTTTCTCATTTCTCTTTGTGGAGTATGCGTTGGTGCAAGAGTTTGGAAATGCTGATTAACAGTGAAAAAGTGCATCTCCTCTGATCTCCAAATTCCTGTTCTAAGCATTTGTCCTACAGAAACACTGACACCTGTGGAGGCTGTATTTACAGGACGCACACGACCACACCGTCACTATGAAAAACTGAAACCACCCGGATGTCCATGAACAAGCAGACAACATGCCCGTCACATCCCAGGCCCTGTGGTGTTAACTGTGCGTCTTCTTGAGGTGCTGTTACAACAGGCATTCACGTGCCACAAGCTTGCTTTCTTTAAGGCTGTACACATTTGCAATATGTACATGTGTGAGTAAAAGCAAGACCTAAAACACCAGAAGTGACCCCGTGCCTTGGTCACCACGACCAGTCACAGCTGTGGACTTGGCCGAGCCGAGCGTATGTTGGGCTTCACCTTACCTGCTCACAAAGTGCCGAGTGCCCCCATCACCTGCTGCTCACTCGCAGCCCTGCGCCTCTCAGTACCGTGCATCTGTCCTCCCAGTGCACCAGCCTGGCCTAATTATTCTCATCAGACACTCATTACCATCAATTACAACAAGCTCATTTCTGGCTGATGGTTCCAGAGCATCTCAAATGTGCTCCTCAGCTTCCCCAGGGACCTCGACTGGCGGGCAGGCAGGCGGCTGTGGGAACCAGGAGCTCAGCTCAGGGACACCATCCATCAGAGGTGCTCAGAAGAAGAGGTGGAACTAAAATAAAGGCACCCCCGAAAACCATCAGATTTCCTTCTGTTCCCAACTTACTGAGGGGATAAAACCCCAGTAAGCCAAACAATGAAGTAAAATAAAATTGTGAATTTCAACATACTGTTTTTTGTAAGAAACAATATGGAACTGCTATGGACTGAATTGTTCCTTCCCCACTAAATTCACTTCTTGAAGCCCTAACCCACCCTGTGACTTGTGGAGACAGGGCCTGTGAGGAGATAATTAAGGTTAAATGTGGTCATAAGGGTGGAGCCCTGACCCGTAGGACCATGGCCTTCTAAGAGGATGAGAGCCCTCTCGCTCTCTCCCGACACCCACCGTGTGAGGCAGCCATCTGCAGACCAGGAGGAGAGCCCTCACTAGGAACTGAATCAGCTGGCACCTTGATCTTGGACTTCCAGCCTCCAGAACTGTGAGAAAATAAATTTCTCTTGTTTAAGCAGCCCCGTGCAGACTAAGACAGGAACATGACCCCAAGACGTTTTTATTTTTCTCCCCTAATGGAACAAAGACATGGCTGTTTGGGGGGAAGCCTCCTTCGCCCTGACCCCCGCCACTGCTGCCTGTCCCCTTGCCCATTCAGGAGTGCCCTTGCTTGGCAGCAGGACTGTGCTCCAGCTTCCTCCCATGCCAGGGTGGGAGGCTGGGCAGAGCCATCTCCAGGACCCCTACTGCACACAAGGGAGGAAGTCTAACCCATGGGTTGAGTGCCAGAGACATTCGATGTCCCGACTGGCCCCTTGGATCAGCCACCTCATGACTCTGTGGCTATAAAAGGGTCAGGCCACCAGCCACAGCCCTGGCTGTGAATAGAGCTGCTCTCAGCACCTGACGGGATGGGATAACATGGGACAGGCCTGGCCCAGAGCCAGCCAGGGCTTGGGCTTTGGAAGCCGGCCCCCCTCACCTGCACAGTGGGGTGGTCTCCATCACCTACCACCCGAGATGGATTAAGCTGTGAGAACCTGCCGCAGAAAGAGGCATTGAAGCCAAGTGAGAGGTGACCAAACTGTACTCCGAGGAGCCCTCCGATGACACACAGTCTGAGACTGGTGTTTGGACCTCAGGGTCAGGGTTTCGAGCCCCTGAGTTGCAAGTGTGTGCTGGGCACCCACATTTGCCACTTGTTCCGGTCACACCAGCCCCCACGTCCATCACCCTGCAGGCCAGTCCACAGCACCAGTCTGGAAGCAACAGCACCAGTGTCTCTTCATTTGAGGGTGAGAATAATTATTAGGGAGAAAAGCTTGGGGACTCCTTGCTTCCAGAAACCTTTCAATGCTTCTTTGATCACTTGCTGAGCGCTGACTAAGTGCCGGGCATAAGCTGGGGCTCTGGGGGGTGGCAAGTAGCTGCTGCGGCCCCTGGGGAACCAGTCTCCTGCTGCTCTGTCTTGACAGGAACGGGGCCGCAGGGGTGGACCCGGCGTGGTCATCGAGACCTGTGCTGAGGTTAACGTTTCCTGTCCTCATTCATGAACTTGAGTGCAGCTTCTCCCAGCTCCAGTTTCTGTTGTAGTCAAAGCAGAGGTAATAAGGTAATTGTACAAGAAATTCTGGCAAGGAGCGAGTCCCAGTAACCACTATCATCTTTTGTGAGGGTGTTTCCTCCCTACACGATGCCTGTTAACAGAGGATGCGAAAAGGGGAGCAGGTGGTAAATAACTTTTTGTACTTGGACCCCAACTGCTTAAGAAAAAAAATGCTCCAGCTATTGGGAAGGTCTCAATGGCCTGCAATTGCTCTTTCTGATTCTGTCATTGTGTCTATTCCCTAGGGATGGACGCCAATGGAGCGTGTGCGTGGGAGTCTTTTCCTATCAGGGTCATTTCATCGATAGGCCAGAATTTTCCCAACGAACCTGACTCACCTGGGGAGCAGGAAAACTGCACAGCAGCCCCACACCCCCCAGAGGGCTCCCAGAGCTGGCAGGGGCTGCAGATCAGAGGCTTGGTCACTGTTAGGGAGACCGGTTTGATTCTGACTCGGTCAGTGCCAGTTATTGGTAACGGGGAGTTTCTGAGCCTTAATTCCTTTAAGTTGGGAATCATATGCATGAGGATTCAATGAGATCACCAGGGAAGTGTGGGACATGCTGTCCCCAGCACAGAGGCATCTTCGTACACAAGAACTCCTGCTGCTGGAAAAACCCCATCAGACCACGACTTGGGGGCCTAGGGGTGCCCCCCACACCCCCACCTGCATCCCACGAAGGTGCAAGTCTGTCTCTATTATCACTGTGTGGAACCACCCTGCTCTCTTGGGACTGTCGCTGTCGTGTTCACTGCCATCACCCCAGCTCCTGGAATGTGCTTGGCCTTGCAGAATCATGCTCCAGAAATAGGAATCTGTGCTAAGAAACGGCTCCCTGAAGGCCACCAGGTCACTATATGGAATGGCACTACTGGGCCCTCAAGGAAGAGAGAGCCCCTTTCCTCAACAAACTGCTTTGGAGGAGAGACCCAGGAAAAGCCACCCACCCACCACATGGAGAACTCAGGATGGGAGCTCCATGAGGAAATCACACCCCAGCTTCATTTGTTTAAGCCACTTTGGCTTAAATAAGTGAACTGCAAATCAATGTCAGCAGCATCTCTGTGTGTGTATGTGCATAAATATATGAATCATAACCACAAGGATTTATCTCCGCACACATGTGCTTTCAAACTCTGTCACTGTAAATCAATGAAAGTGAAAATTCTATGTAAATGAACGTTCATGAAAATCTATCAATGTAAATCATCTCAGTAACCTAAAGGAGAGAACTCAAAAGATACAAAAAGAAAAAAATCTATTAAAACAATACCCATTAGTGATAAAAACCCTTAGCACACCAGGAATAGAAAGAACCCTCCTTAGTGTGATTAACAGGTCTCTCCAAACCACACAGCACCCTCAGGCTTACTGGGGACCTTTAGAGGCACTGCTTCAAGTCAGACACAGACTTGACTCAGCTCTGTCCTCAGGTGCTGGTCAAGAGGATGAGACCAGGAGCCCAGGAAGGACAGACGGGCAAGGCAAGGATGGGAGACGTGATCCACGTGCAGGCTAAAGGGTGTCCCTGTGTTGGGGAAGTCGCCCAGGGAGTCACTGATGTCACCAACAACTCCCTCCTAACCCTCTACCCCAGCCCTAAACTGGCCCCTAGGCGGGGTCAGTGCTCAACAATGGCATTCTATGTGGCTGGCCCCCGACACCATCAAGGGCCATTTCACATTCTTGTTTCCTGGAGATGACGAGTCCTTAACCTAAATGAGGAGACTTTGGGAACACAGACTGTTAGTGTTGAAAACTGCCTGCATTGACCTTTCAAGCGACGTTCTCTAGGTCAGTTCATTCAAGCAGCGTTCTAGATGAAGCCTCATTTTAAGTCACTTTGTCTTAACTTTGTCTTAACTGAACTTTGTCAGTCCCACAGGACTTTACGCAGAATATTCAACAGTCGTCAGCTTCTGAAATCATGGATGCCATGCACACTAGATACTCGCCAACCCACGGGAGTATCACACCGTGCAAATTGCCATCATTGCTAATTAATCCTTAATTAAAATACATCACAATCTAAGTGCTGAAGCCTCAACCAAATATGCAAATTAATTTTTATTTCAGTATACTTATGCATTTGTTCATTAAAGCTCTGCAATTCTGTAATAAAGTACTGTATGAACTGCTGATGCAAAGTAAAAATGATATACAGTTTAAGTTTGTTTTCCTTGCGTGTGGCAATGAGGCAAAAGGAAAAGCGAGCAAAATGCTTTAATATAAAACTTGGCCAGGTAAAATGTCTAGAAAACTAGTCCATACTCTCCTATGGGCTTTGAGAACATTTAAGAGCAAGAGCTAAGAAAAACACCACTTATGGACAGTTTCTATCTATATTAAACAATTTTATTTCTCATCCAAAGAAATCCTCTGATTTCAACTGAACAATACCTAATGGGAGCCATGAGGAAAGGCCTAGAAGCTTCAGAAGCTGGGCCACCATCACCCAACGTGTGACCTTTATTTTTCTGAGTCCTGCTACACAGGGAGGTGACCAGTCCAGCAACACGCATGTCAACTATGTCCCACCCGTTCCCAGGCTGGGAATCAGATTTTTAGGCTGGCCAATGCCCTAACTACGCTATTAGGAATTGTCCCAGGAACTGGTGTTAAGCAGGTTCTAGGTGACAGGACAAAGGAGCATCTTCTGTCAAGAAAGATTAGTCACTCCCGTGCTACCACCAAGTTTACTGACACCTACCGTGAGCTGAGACGCACAGCAGGCATGCCTGTGTTTTCTTGGGCTGTCGCTCTGGGGAGAGAATCAGAAAACAAGCCAGAAACAAAAGCACAAGACAATTTCAGTTGATGGTTAGGCCCTAAGAAGAAACCTGAACAGGGTAAGAGAGGCTGCAAGAGAGTGCTGCTTCACGAGTCCCTGTGTGTACTGAGGCCGTAAGCTACAGGCTCACTCTGTATTAGAGACGTGGCCCTGCCCAAAACCCTGTGGTCCTCGAGCTGTTTTTATAACAGTCTGATTGAGACATAATTCAAACGGCATAGAATTCACCCATGTAAAGTATAATTCAGTGGTTTCCAGTAGATCCACAAGGTTGTGTAACCACTACCACTACCTAACATTTTTACCACCCTAAAAAGCAACCTCGTCCCTGTTAGCAGTGACTCCCCATTCCCTCACTTCCAGCCCTTGGCAGCCACTAATCTCTTTCTGCCTGTTCTGGAAACTTCATATAAATGGAATCATATACTCTGTGGCCTTCTGTGTCTGGCTTTTTTCACTCAGCATAAAGTTTTCAAGGTTTATTCACGTTATAGCATGTATCAGAGCTTCGTTTCTTTTTACGGCTGAATAATTTGATTATATAGATGGACTACGTCTGGTTTCTCCAGTCATCATGGACGTTGGGTTTTTTTCATAATGCTTGATCTGTACGTTTGTTTAAAATAATCCACCTGTCTGTTCAACAGAACTTTCCTAATGTTCTGGACCTATGCTGTCTAATACAGGAGTCACCAGCTATATGAGGCTACTGAGCACTTGAAATGTGGCTTTAATTGTATTTAATTTTAATGATTTCAAATGTAAATAGCCCCCGTGGAGACCAGCGGCTGTGTGGCAGGGACCACAGCTCCGCACAGTCTACAGCTGCACAGGAGCAGTTAGGATTGGAGGCTCAATTCACCAGTCACCCTGAGACTCGGGGCTGGGAAAGGACGTTCCAGGCAACCTGGGAAATAGCTCCCCAGCTCTAGGAGATCCACTCCCAGCACAGCCCTAAGGAAATGTGGTACATGGGACTCAGCCCTGGGGAACAGTCAGTCAGAAAAGAGATCCGAGTTCCAGAAGTCACACGCTGGCCCAAAGGGTAACTGCTGGGACAGACCCAGCCAGAAGGCTGGACCTACAGATCATGATTTTGCAATTGCAACAGACCTAACTAGCTGATGAGGAAGGGAAACAAAGGTAAACAAACCTGCCGGATTACTTTTGCCTGACAGCTCCTAGCTGGGCCAGTGAACACTGGTCAGTAAATAATAGGTGTTCCCTATTATATTATGAATTATTTACATTCTTTCCTCTGAAAGGCAGCCATTGGTTCCCCCGCGGCACAGCAAGGGTTCCTTGGCCCGAGAGCAAGGCTGGTGGAGCTGGGACTTCTCGTTCCTCAGTGACACAGTGACCCCAAAACCAACCAAACTGAGGCACAGATGTGCTCTTGAGACCAGCTTGGGGGACAGTCACAGCCAGAAGACAAAGCAGGTCCCTCTGTGTGAACTGCCCTGATACCCAGTGGCTCTTCAAGGGGCTTCCTGCACACACAGGGTCCAAACTGCCTGCACACCCGCAATCCAAGGTCCAAAGGCTTTTGTACAAGTTAGCACGCAAGTGCATCTGGAGGCAGAGCCTGTGTAAGAATGTTCCTGCTCTGTGCTAAAAGCCATCGTTTGAATGCAGGCTCTGCCTCAGTCCTCATCAACATAATGTAGCTAAAACCCAAACAATTCCGAATCCTGTAATACACCTAGCCCCTACGGTTTCGGGAAAGGGATGGGGCCAGTATGCATTTGGTCTTCCCAGCTAAATTCAGAACTCTCCAAAAAGGATTTATTTTGTACTCCTCAGGACAACTCCTCTAGATACAAAGAAAGACTGCTGTTTTTCGGGGTTTTTTTTCTTTTTGCTGAGGAGATTAGCCTTGAGCTGACATCTATTGCCAATCTTCCTCTTTTTGCTTGAGGAAGTTTAGCCCTGAGCTAACATCTGTGCCCATCTTCCTTCGCTTTATATGTGGGTCACAGTGACAGTATGGCTGACGAGTGGTGTAGGTCTGTGCCAGGGATCCGGGCACTGAAGCGGAGTGTGCCAAACTTAACCACTATGCCATGGGGCCCGCCCCAGGACGTCTGTTTTAAGGGAAGGATTTTGGAGGGAGGGGCCACTCCTAGAATGCCCTTGGCTTTCTTAGACTGCCTTAGGCAGGACCACCCAGACACTGCAGAGAACACAGGTGGAGCGCCTGCCTGCACACCGACCTGGAAGATGCACTCGTGTCCCTCCCACAGGCTGGAGGAAGCATCGGAAGGCAACTCACCCTGGAACTCATGAGGCAGTGCTTCCAGGAACATCTGCCAACACTAGGTCTACGTGGCAAGTGGCTTTCTTTTCAGAATGATATGAACAATAAGCCTTGTGTTCTCAGTCAGGCCCCATTCATTCAGTCTTCCTGAACCTCGTAAAGTGAACAGGATGAAAAGGATTTCACTTAATAGGTATCATCAGCAGAAAGTCTTCATTCAACAAAAACGTGAGGGACTTGCACTGCATGCCAGGAACTAAGACAGTCCTAGATCACAGGACACCCTAGACCTTGCGCTGGCTAAGGGAGACAGATGGCAGAGGCCAGGAGCCATCATGGATGCAGTGAGGGCAGTGGACTCAAAGACAGCCTGCAGGGTGGGGGGTGGGATGGGAGCCACAGGCAGTGAAGCACAGGGAGGGTTCCCTTCCTGAGCCAGGACAGGGTGCAACTTGGTTGTGGCTTAATGGGGTGCAATGGTCTGTCTCTGGAGCTTCACTCTGCTTATCTGTAAAACAGGAGTAAGTGTCTGCTCCCAGGCCGCTGGAAGGTTGGGGCGTTAATGCAGGGAAGCATGGAGCTCCAACAATGGCCACTGGGGGTGGGGGGTGTTCAAATGCTCTGCGCAGGTTTGGTCTTTAATGAAATGCCGAAGACTTTAGCCAGAGGGGAAATGTGATAAATGTGAGTTAAATCAAGAAGGAGACGTGCGATCTTCCCTTGTGGGGCCATCCCCGCACCTGCAAGCTCAAAATGCACCCACACCCTGCACACTGATGTTTGAGTCAGTTGGAGGAAAGGAAGCATGACTTTTGGAAGCAATGCCCAGATGTAATGTGTGTGGCTTGTGCTCTGAGCCCCACAGCCTCCTTGGGACTCAGCCTGGGGTGAGTCAGAAGCCCCAAGCACGGCCCTTGCGCCCTGGGAGGATGGGACAGGGTGACTGAGTGGCTAAAATGGACACCTCAGCCTGCTCTGGTGGTAGCAGGTATCAATCCCTTCTTTTTCTCCTGAAACTGCTGAGTCGGAAGCTGATGGACAGCTGCAGTCATATATGTACATACAGAATCAGACGGAGCAAAGAATGAGATGTGCCCAGACTGCGCATCCACAGCTCTCCAGTTTCCTGTTCAGGTCCAGCGCTGCACTGATAGGAAAAAGGTCATTAAGAACTAAAGCTTTCTGAGACAACACTAGATTAAATTACTTTTAAATATCACTTTTCAGGGGCTGGCCCCATGGCCGAGTGGTTAAGTTCATGGCGGCCCAAGGTTTTGCCAGTTCAGATCCTGGGCGCAGACCTAGAATGGCTCATCAGGCCACGCTGAGGTGGTGTCCCACATAGCAGAGCCAGAAGGACCTACAACTGGAATATACAACTAGGTACTTGGCCGGGGGTGGGGGGGGCGGGGGAGGGTTGGGGAGAAGAAGAAAAAAGATTGGCAACAGATGTTGGCTCAGGTGCCAATCTTTAAAAAAGAAAAAAAGACTTTTTATTACTACTAATTCTGTATTTTGCAAAGCTAGTTGTTATCAATAAAAACCTTAGGGGCTCACACATCCAAGGAGCTATGATGACACAGCCAACTGCTGAGGGCAGTGGGGAGCCCCCAAAGGGCTGTTTTTTCCTGGGGACCAGTGGGGATGAGGCCAGGGGACAGCTCACCTCAGTGAGAGGCACCCATGCTAGCCAATTTTTATCAGGGTGATCAACATCACACAGTGCAACAGTACTAAGGAGCATGTGGCTATGGTTGGTGTCTCCAAGGGCTGGGCGTGTCCCCTGCAGGCACTTTCTTCAGCCTACAGGACTTGGGTTTTGCTGCCCAGCGGTTGCAGGAGCACTGCTCATCCAGTTCATACAGAACTCTGAAGGGAGTGCTGCAAGAGGCTGAGGGCAAACTTACCTAAACTAAAAAAAAGCCCAACCTTCGTACTTCCATTTACTGGAAGCCATAATATCTGCTCCTCATCATTTAAATAAGGAGGGGCCGGCCCGTGGCTGAGTGGTTAAGTTCGTGCGCTCCGCTTCAGCGGGCCAGGGTTTCACTGCTTCAAATCCTGGGCGTGGACATGGCACCACTCATCAAGCCATGCTGAGGTGGCATCCCACATGCCACAACTAGAAGGACCCACAACTGAAAATTCACAACTGTGTGCCAGGGGGCTTTGGGGAGAAAAAGGAAAAGTAAAATCTTTAAAATACATACATACATGCATACATAAATAAATAAATAAGGAACAGACATGACAGGCTGTCAGACATTCAAACGCCCTGCAGGGCGAGAGGGTGTCTGTGGAGGAGGATGACCTGGCTTTGGGTGTTAGAGGCCAAGAAAGGTGAGGAGGGTGTCACAGGGCAGCTGCCTGCAGAAGTGGGCTGGTTGGTGGGGGACAGGGGTCAGGGGCCGAGGGGGCGAAGAGTGCATGTCCGGGAGGAGGATTTGGTGTACATGAGAAGGGAGGGAACGACTAATTAAATAAGCAAAAGTTCTGAGGATAATGGGAGCAGAGTTCTTGCTATCAGAGAAAGGAGATACAAATCTGGGAAGAGAGAAAAACAGGATGACCCTGTGGTGTTGAACTAGAATTAAAGATATTGGAATGAACTCATGGTTTTCAATATATACAGATATAGAAAAAATAGATATGCATGTGTGTGTGTGTACACACAGGAAGTTACTACCCACAAATATTCCTTAGCTGTGTCTTCTGAGAGTGACTAGAGTAGCAACACCTCAATAGCACTGAGCACACTGAGGGCCAAGATCTACTCTAAACGGAGGCTGGGCTCCTGGAGAAATGGCTACTTCTGGCTGGGGCAGAGAGAGGAGAATAGGAGCCTGGAATGTGTTATGGCAGCAGATAAGGGAAAGCTCAAAGGATGACAGAGACATGTCAGAGGGACACGAAGCCAGCTTGAAGGGGCTCCCACTAGCCACATCTGGGACAGTCTGAGCATCAAAATGAAGGATGATAGTAACTGACTGTGATAAAATAGGATTCTATAATCTATACTGATACAAAACACAAAAATGAATAAATGAAAAATTTAACGAGGGATGGAGTCATTTACATAGTCTCAGAGTACCTCCCAACAGAACGCTTATCACAAAGAGAAAGGGAGCAACTTCAAAAAGGAGAAGTCTGGCAGAGACCATCTCACTTGTGTGATCAAAGTTAATGTCCCTAGTAGGGGACAGACTGAATGTGGGTACCACTGACCAGCCTCTGCATGACAACAGGGTGTTGTCTAATTTTGAGGATGCACAGAGGAAATGTAACCTTAAGGAAACATCAGATAAGTCCAAATGGAGCGGCCTGCCTGTGATCTTCCAAATGGTCAAGGTCATGAAAGTCAAGCAAAGATGCGGGCTTGTCACAGATGGAAAAAGACCAAAGAGACATGATGACTAAATGCAACATGAGATTCGGACCTGCATCCTTTTCCATAAAGGACATTATTAGGACGAGTGGCAGAGCTTGAATAAGGTCTGAGGATTCCATGGGAGTGGCGTATCAATGTTCCTTTCCTGACCGTGAGGGTTGTCCTGTAAGCAGGAGAATGTCTTTGTTCTGGACACACACTCAAGCGTGCATGGGTCATGGGGCATCATGGTAGCAAGTTACTAGCAAATAGTTCAGGAAGAAAACTTATTTGCACTGTTCTTGTAAATCTTTGATTGTTTCAAACTAAAAAGTTAAACACACAAACAAACCTATGAAGACAAATGTGGACGACTCAAGCTACAAGACTGAGGAACTGTCACGTATCGATAGAGATCAAGCAGACACGTGGACTAAATGCAACATGGGAGTCTGGACCAGAATGAGAACATTAAGGGAAAAAGTGGGGAAAGCCGAGTAAGATCTGCCGTGCAGAGATAGAGCATTGTACCGAGGTTCATTTCCTGATTTCGATCATTGCAGTGTGGTTCTGAAGGTGGTTGACCTTAGAGGAAGCTGGGAGAAGGATACAGCAGAACTCTCTATACTATTTTTTCAACTTTTCTGCAAATCTAAAATTAATTAAAAATAAAAAGACTTTTTTTAAAAACAAAAAGGTTTGCAGTGGCAGAAGCCATTCAAGGGGATGACTTTGGATGCTTCAAACAAACAAAACAAAATTGTTATGATACTACCTTTTTTTATCATCTTTTCCTTTTCCAAAACAACTGAATGCCACGGTGCCTCTTAGGTATTGCTTAAGACGAATGCAGCTGCTTGTCACACATTGGCAAAAGTACTTCTCCAGTTATAAACTGCAAAATAAATGCATGTGATGCACCAAAAAGCAGGGCACTGACAAGACAGAAATGAACCATCTGAACCATCCACGGCCAGAGAGAGATGGATGAACAAGAAGGCTCATGATGCACATTAGGGCCAAGCCAGGACCCGAGGTGCGTGGTTGTCGACTTCCTGGATCCATGCAGGAAGTGTCTTCTCAACCGCCTACCTGTCTTTTCCTTGATCTCACAGAGCACACTGAAGACAGCAGGCTTCATCCGATGGCAATTCAGAGCATACTTTCTGAAAGAAGGGCAACAGAGGAGCATATGAGAGAAAGAGTGACACTGTCCACCAGGGTAAAGCTCCTCCATATTGAGCCTGCCAGTTCTGTTGAAAATCCTTTATGAAGGTACAGTACAAGAGCATTTCATATGAATTCAATCTGTGCAAGATTCAAATACAGCAATATACAAAAATTCAAAACATTTCCCTTTATATGTAGAATTTTAAACAATGCAAATAATGCAAATTTAAACAATGAAGTAACTCACTAAGAACTATGAAATTTCAAGGTCCAATGATCTGAGAGCAGCACACTTTGGAGCATAAGCAGACACCAGCCATCCTATCCCAGTGGTGTGCAACGTTAATGTAGCAGGTGTTCACTGAGCAGCTACTACATGCCACACACCATTCTAGTGTCACAGAGACAGACAGACAAGGTTCCTACCCATGTGGCAGTTAAGATGGAGTAGGTGAGAGACACCAAACACACACACAAACAAAACCATCAGCCGTGCCAGGTACTTCGTGGTGACTTTACTAGAGTGATGACTAGAAGACATCGTAGTTTGCATGTCTCTAAGGTGACATCACAGCTGAGATTGGAATGACAAAAAGTCACGCCAGAAAAGGGCTGAAGAGGGTAATAATTTAAGCAGAGGAAACAGCCAATGCAAAGGCCCTGAGTGAGAACACACTTGGCTTTTTAAGAGACCAGTATGCTGTAGGGTAAGGGGTGAGGGAGAGAGCCACGCGGTGAAGTTAGAGAGACAAATGGGGCCGACTGAAAGTCTTGTAAGTCAGGGGAATGACTCTGGCTTTTTTTTGCCTGTGATGGGAACTGTGGTTGGCAGAATGGTCCCCAAAGACGTCCATGTGCTAATCCTCGGAACCATGAATACGTTACCTTACAAGGGAAAAAGAACTCTGCAGACATGATTCAGGTCTTGCCCAGCTGTGGTCAGCAAAAGAGATGTGATGACATAGGATCAGAGAGGCTATGCTGTTGACTTTGCAGATGGAGGAAGGGATTACCAGCCAAGGAACGCTGGGAGCCTCAACTAGTTGGAAAAGGCAGGGAAACGGATTCCCCCCAGAGCCTCCAGAAGGAAAGCCCTGCCGACACCTTGATTTTAGTCCAGTGAGATCCATGTGGGATTTGTAACCTACATAAATGGAAGATAACAAGTTTGTGGGGATTTTTTTGGTGAGGAAGATTGGCCCTGAGCTAACACCTGTGCCAATCTTCCTCTATTTTTATGTGGGATGCTGCCACAGTGTGGCTTGACGAACAGTGCTAGGTCTGTGTCTGGGATCCGAACCTGTGAACCCCAGGCCGCCAAAGTGGAGCGCATGAACTCTACAACTATGCCACTGGGCTGGACCCAAGTTTGTCTTTTTTAAGCCACTACATCTGTGGTCATTTGTCACAGTGGCAACAGAAAACTAATACAGGAAGCAATGGAGGATTTTACAGAGTGGTTATCACATGACATGATTTGCATCTTTATTAGTGATTTTTTTTTGGAGGAGATTAGCCCTGAGCTAACATCTGCCACAAATCCTCTTTTCTTTTTTTTGCTGAGGAAGACGGGCACTGAGCTAACATCTGTGCCCATCTTCCTCTACTTTATATGTGGAATGCCTACCACAGCATGGCTTGACAAGCAGTGTGTAGGTCTGCACCTGAGATCCGAATCCGCAAACCCCGGACCGCTGAAGTGGAATGTGCGAACTTAACCACTGTGCCACCAGGCTAGCCCCTATTAGTGTTGATTTTTTGAGATGTAATTCACATATGATAAAATTCAATCTTAAAAGTATACATACAGTTCAGTGGCAACCTTCACCAACTATCAAATTCCAGAACACTTTCATCACCCCCAGAAGAAACCCTGTCCCCATTAGTAGCCACTCCACATTCTCCCCTCCTCCCATCTGGCAACTAATCTTCCTGTCTCTACAGATTTGTCTCTTCTGGACATTTCATATAAATGGAATCATACAGAATGTGGTCTTTTGTTACTGACTTCTTTCACACAGCGTGTCCTTTGTATGGATATATTTTGTATTTCTCTTCATCAGTTGACAGACTTTTGGGTTGTTTCCACTCTTTCGCTTTTATGAATAATGCTGCTACTAACATTTATGTATAAGTTTTTGTGTGAGCATATGCCTAGGAAGAATTGCTGGGTTATATGGTAACTCTATGTTTAATTTTTTGAGGAAATGCCAAACTTTCGCAAAGTGGCTGCACCATTTTACATTCCCATCAGCAACTTACAAGGGTTCCAATTTCTGCACATCCTCACCAACACGTGCTATTGTCTGTTTCATTATGGCCACCCCATTGGGTATGAGGTGGTATCACTGTGGTTTTGATTTGCAATTCTCTAATGGCTAAAGATATTGAGCATCTTTTCATGTGTTTATCAGCCACTCTTTTTGGAGAAATGTCCATTCAAATCTTTTGCTCACTTTTTAATTGGGTTTTCTTTTTATCATGAGTTGTAAGAGTTCTTTATACATTCTGGATACTAGACCTTTCTCAGATATATGACTTGCAAGTCTTTTCTCCCATTCTGTGATTGTCTTTTTACTTTCTTGACAGTGTCCTTTGAAGCACAAAAGTTTATCTTTTTTTTTTTTTTTTAAAGATTGGCACCTAAGCTAACAACTGGTGCCAACCTTCTTCTTCTTCTTTTTTTAATTCTTCTCCCCAAAGCCCCCCCCATACATAGTTGTATATTCTAGCTGTGAGTGCCTCTGGTTGTGGTATGTGGGACACCACCTCAGCATGGCCTCATGAGCAGTGCCATGTCCGCCCCCAGGATCCAAACCCATGAAACCCTGGGCCACTGAAGCAGAGTGCACGAACTTAACCACTTGGCCATGGGGCTGGCCCCCAAAATTTATCATTTTGATGAAATCCAATTTATCTATTTTTCCTTTTGCTGCTTGTGCTTAAGGTGTCATATCTAAGAAACTGTTACATAACTCAAGGTTACAAAGATTTATGCCGATGTTCTCTTTCAATAGTTTTATAAGTTTAGCTCTGACAGATAAGTATTTGATCCGTCTGAGCTAATTTTTGTATATGGTATTAGGTAAGGGTCCAACTTCATTCTTTTGCATGTGGAGATCCAGTTTTCCCAGCACATTTGTTGGAGAGACTATTCTTTCCCCACTGAATGGTCTTGGCACCCTTGTAGAAAATCAGTTGGCCACAGATGTATGGGTTTATTTCTGCACTTTCAATTATATTCCATTGATCAATTTGCCTATCCTTAAGTGAACTGCATTTCAAAAAGATCACAGTGGCTGCTCTGTGGAAAATGGACTAGAAGGCAAACGTGGAACCAGGAACACCAATGTGGAGGCTACTACACACTGGAATAGTCCAGAAATGGCGCTGGCTTAGTTAACAGTTATGGTAGCAAACATAAAAAGTAAACAGATCTTTGACTTGGGGGATGGAATTAACAAGACCTCCTGACAAACTGACGTGGGGTTTTAGGGAAAGAGGAGATTCAATGATAGCTACTAGTTTTAGGCCTGAGCAACTGGATGGATGGAGACACCATTAACTACAATAAAGGAGACTGGAGGACAGCAGGTTTTGGGGAGGAGGGTCTGGAAAGGAGAGCTGTACTTTGATAAGGTTACACTTGAGTACCTATGGGCTACCCAAGAGGACGTATCAGATAGACAGCTGGGCACATGGACATGGACTCAAGGCTGAAGATAATACAAAGATGGGGAGTCCTGGGCATAGAGATGGCACTTAAAGCCCTGAGACTTGAGGAAATCACCATAGGAGAATGTAGACAGAGAGGGGCCCAGGCACACAGACTTGTAGAGATGAAGCAGAGAAGAGTCTGCAGAGGAGACTGGGACCAAACTGCCGGTGAGGAGGAACCAAGAAAAACAGTTTCAAGGAGAGAAGAGTACTCTGTGAGAAATGCTTCTGAGACGCGAAGCAGGAGAAGAACGCAGAAGAGATCTTGGATTTAGCAACATGGAGGTCACTGGTGACTCAGCAGTGGGAGGGAGAAGGGAGGAGTAGGGAGAAGGGAGAAGAGGGAGGAGAAGCTTGGGAAAGAATAGGTGGAGGAGGAGAGGAAGCGGAAGCAGCAACCACAAACTCTTTGAGATCTGATCATAATGGAGAGTAAAGAAATGTAGCAGCTGCTAAAAGAAAGGGTGTGTAGTAATCATGTTTTTTATTTTCTGTATTTTATGATGCTTTGACCTCTTAGGGCTAGCTAATTCCAGATATAGCAAACAGCTTGCCTGAGAGCGTGCCTTTCACATGCAAACCCAAATCCAAAGGCAATATGCCCAACCACCTCCTTTCTCTAACTCTCAGCACCAGCCAATATTCTCCCGGCTGTAAATCACCCCAGGGCCAGGTACCAGACAACTAGAAACCACCCCTATAGCCCAGAGCCTGCAGAAATTATTTAAACTATTCCAATTTAAACTTGCTTAAACTTGCCAACTCTGCCTTGTCCAGTCCTTCCTGCAGAAATCACAATTAAAGCTCTGGGCCATGCTTCCCCTCACTCCTGCCTCCTGACAGATTCAGGTGCTTCCCCATGTGGCCCTGCACACCTCCATGGGAACTGTAAGTAATAAACTCTTTTTTCAAAGTTGTCTTGATGTCTCTCATCTTACCATACCTGATTAAAACAAATCCCAAGTACAGATCAAGGTAGGGTGAGTCAAGGAAGATTTTTTGTTATTGTTGTTTCTTTGTGTGTTTTTAAAGACAGAATACACTAGCACATGTTTACACGCCAAAAAGCCAGCCTAGAAGGAGAATTTTTATTTATTTTTATTTTTTAAAGATTGGCACCTGAGCTAACAACTGTTGCCAACCTTTTTTTTTTACCCCTCTTCTTCCCCAAGCGCCAGTACATAGTTGTATCTTCTAGTTGTGAGCGCCTCTGGTTGTGCCATGTGGGATGCCGCCTCAGCATGGCCTGATGAGTGGTGCCATGTCCGCGCCCAGGATC